ACCTGCATGCAGATAGCGCAGCTGTTGCGTTTTGGCGCGCATTTTCAAAGTAAGGTTGTGCGAATTAATTGTGGCGCGTGTAGAGATTATTCAGAGTATTATCTGCTTTTCTTATGATTCAGATTAACTTGATTTAAATAATATTTAAATATTGTATTAGATGTTTATACTTAAAACCAAAATTGTGTAAAGTGATTACTTATCCTTAATTACTTTAAAAGCAGAAAAAGGGAAAACATGAAGTTTTAAATTGATCATTTCCTTATTGTTTGTTTTAGTTGTTTTTTTTTCACATAGATACTATACATTTGAGGGGTTTGGTGCAATACTGCCCTAACCCACAAAATCTTTAAATGTCAGTACTTATAGTTTCATCACTTCTCATGTGTTCACGTTATGGAATAAGCTTGTAGCAACACCTGCAGCATGGCTCAGAAAAAAGACATTCTTTATCCAAAAAAAATCCTCTTACTGTTAAAAACAACTTATTATCCAAAAAAACTTACAACAATATTAACAGTTTTTGAATATTAAATTCTATTTAATAGTTGTTCCTTCCTTCCCACTTAAATGGTATTTTACCAATATACACAAGGAAAAAAGGTTAACATATTATAAAATTAGTAAGATTAAAATTCCGTTTTTATTAGTTTTTACAATATTAATTTTTTTCTTAAGTGAGTATCAATAAAATCTATTTTTATTAATGCTTATCTTCTCTAAGATTTATACTTTGTGGCATTAGCAAACATTTTACTCCAAATCTAGAATTACAAATATGCTGAAGATTTATCGTGTTTTCCTGAAACAAGCTCGGTGTGTGTATTGTTCCTAAATTTGCTATTATCTTCAGACAATGAAATGCTAGATAAAAACTAATATATCATCCAAGTCCATTAGTAAATAATACTACAAAGTGTTTATTGTTCATTTCATAAGCATGCTCATTTTAATGTATATTACATTGTATTTTTTTTCTCGAAATTCTTCAATTATGTGAAAAAGTTTAAGAAATAGGATATTCGTTGTATTAACTATGTAATTGATTTAAGTCTTCATCTCTATAACTTAATATTTGTAATATTTGAAAAAATAACTTAAATCAATGATTTTTTAAAAAGTTATCATTTGTTATAAATCATGATTGAAATCATACCAGCCTTAATTTTGGTGACTTTATAGCCGAAAATAGAATTGTAATTTTGATAACATATCAGGTCATTGTTATTTTGGGGTAAGTCTTTCAAAACCAAGGGAAAATGAAACAAATTTATAATTATACTAGTTTTATGTTTGGCAAGTTGATTCGTCTTGTATTAGATAATAACATACCGGTAAATATGCATAGTGCTCTGGGATTAGAGAGGGAATTTGCATTGTTTACAAAAAAAAAAGCTTATGAAATGAAAATTTGGAAGATCTAACAAATTTAATTTGGCCAGTTTCTCCTAGTTTTAGGCAATCTTAACTTTAAAATAAATAACTGGCACAGATTTCTTCTGTTTAGGCAGCAATACAAGATTTTTTTTATTTTCTATAGCTACCTGATGGTTTACTGCACATCATGACAATATTTCCACAAAGTCCACACACAAACTATCCTCATTGAAACCTACACATGGGCAGAACAATACTGAATTGTTACGAATTACAGAATTTTGACGGTATAAGTAGAAAAATTGGATTAGATTTTTACTATAATTATCAATAATATTTCACAAGATTATATGTTCAGATGTTTCAATTTAGCAATTCAAATTTGGCTACATTTAATTAAAAATCATTTGTAATATATAAACCTTTCTTAGCACTGAAGTATGTGAAATATCAAAAAAGTATTATACCTATCTTAATACTTTTAAAATAAACGTTAGATATTTAGGGTATATTATTTATTACACACAGTTTTTTTTATTACACATTCAAAAACGAAAGTTTTTAATTGTTCACATTCAAAAATTGTTTTGATTATTTATTTAATATATTCCAGTGCTTGTTAGGCAACTTTTTCTAACACAGCAATTATTATTCGAAATACAATATATATATGCTGAAATAATAATATTTGTCTATAATATCGAGACTAGCAGCACTTGCAGCATCAAGGAAAAAAGATTTCACTGGCACACTTTGTAATAAGATTTCTTGAAATGTTCTTGAGAAGACAACAGGGCTGGGCTTGTAGGAAACACTGTGATACAATTCCATCTTCTAATGTTAGTGAAGTCGAATTCGTTTGTATCTTGCCAGTTATCATACTGCAACTCGAAGATCACCTCCAGAATGGAAACGTAACTCGTACACCTAAGCAAATAAACTTAATTACATTTTCATCAACATTAATGAGAGTGTACCTATTCTAAAAATGCAAACAATAATGAATTATGTATATTGAAAATTAACATTTTGAATACCAGGGTATTGCAAACAATGAATATATGAATTACAATGAACATTATTACAAAACGTGTCAATACCATACGAAATAATATAACTACAATACTTTTAAAAAAATAGAACAGAATAAATGACATGTACAGAGTTAGGTTATACTACATGGATTTACGGAATTTTAAGACTATTTTGCATGGTGTAAATGTTCACAAATTAAATAATCAATTACAATTATGCAACAAGATTCCAAAATGAATTATATAATACCTCCACTGCTGAGGGTGGAAAGCCGAACTGTGCCCACCCCGCACTATGAGCATTGATGAGAAGTGTGGTCCGGGTGAGTGAGGAAACAAACTTAGTCCCCCGCCTTTTAACATTGAGTGAACCGGCCCTGATGTTGCATTATCGCGACCGTATGGAGTAGTGCTGGCAATCATGCGACATCTAGCGGCACGACTGAGAAACACACGAAAAACCGTGAAGAGGCCTCGCGCGCCAAGAACTAAAAACCCAAGTATATATACTCGTTGACTCCACCGGTGAGCACGAGAAATACTTGCAGTATACCTGATTTCACTGTGTGGTGCATTTGAGCGCAAATTGCTGGTTTAAATTGGTTGTTCTTGTAGCAATTCTCAATTAGTATTAGTTTTCAAGGTAGCAGGAGACGTTAAAGGATAACTGAATATTGAACATTGCAGTGCTCTCAAATTAACGAACTCAACGAGCAAGTGTGGATACGGTGTATGTATATCAAGGACAAGAAGAAATCATGATTATAACCTAAAATGTATTCAACATTCATTTGCTCGCCATAATAACGATAAAGTCGAGTAAGTCGTCCGTGTAGGTGTATTATAATTTGAGCATGGATATGTTAAAATGGTTATTTGATCGTTTGTGAATGCTTTCAGTGTGGATGGAAAAATGTTTCATAACAAAAAGTAATATAACATTGTTGCGTGAATTAAGTTTTGTTTGTGGAAAAAAAAAGTTCTTGATCATTAACGTATTTTACAGTTCTATTGTATTCTTTTGAGATTATGGCAGTTCTTAGTATGAATAATACATAATATTTGAATTGCTTTATTACAGGAGATCTCAACATAGAATTAATCATGCCTAAAAGAATTGCAACATCAGAATTGAATCATGACAATTGGAATGAAGAAGAAGCTCCAGAAGAAGCTGGGACATTTCAGAAAGCTGCCCCTGACGTTATTGAGAAACGTATTATAAGGAATGCTAGACGGCGAGTAGTGGGGGGTTCTGGATCAGGATCTGTAAGTTGGATTTCCAAAGAAAAGTTTGAGAGAATTTTATGCGTTATTGTGCATATCTACTTTTGTTTGAAGCAGTCTCAGTTGTATTCCCATGAAATATTTCATTTCATTATAATTTATAATTTTGTTGTAAACTTCATCAATTATTACCTTGAGTTTGCAAAATGTACTTTTCACTTTAATTTTAAATTTAGTTGTTAAATTAATTTGAATTTTATAATTTCTTTTTATATTATGTTATTACATTAAAATTGATTCCTTTAAACATGTGAGTTATTTAAAAATAATCTTGTTAATGGAGACTTTGTTCAAATTCAGTTATATTAAATTTTACTGGACTTTTATTTCAGGCTCCAAGTGTGTTTGCAGGATTTCAAGGATTTGGTAAAACTACTGAAAATCCTGGTGTTTTTAATTTCTTGAAAAAAAGTAATGCTACATCTGAGAACACAGGTGTACAATCAAAAGTTGAACCTTCAAGTCACACACCTATGTTCAAACAACCTGTTAAGGAAGTTCCTGTTAGTGAACAAGATCCTCTTCAACCATCACCTCCTTTTACAGTATCGTATTTAGGTGCAATTAAAAAACTTAATGAGTGTTTTATTAAACACATTCAAACCTGTTTTGAAGAGAAACAATTTATTATATTGTCTCCATGTTTTCGAGACTATGAACAACATTTGAAGAGTATTCTTCCTCTAAATGACTCTAATAATAATAAGGGTGAGGGAGAAAATAAAGTACTTCAAGAGAATACAGAACCTTCTTCAAAAAAAGATCATGAAGATGAGACATCTTCTAATGTCTTTAGTGCAAAGAAAACAAATTTTTCTAGTAGTGCCAATGCTGAAGTAACTCCAGGATCTGGCTTCAAATTTTTTGTTAGTGATGGAAATAAATCATTGCCTAATTCAAATGCTGTCACACCTGGTACCATCCCGTCCTTAAGTGCTTCTGCAAAGAAGCAATTTCCGTGGTCAGGAGGATGGGGTTCAAATTCTCCCAGTCAACTAGTAACCAGGTGAGTTCTTTTGCATGACTATGCAGGGAAACCTGTTGATATGATCCCCTCAATTAAGTGTTTGCCTTTAACAACTGTTTTTTTTAGAGAACCCATTTTTTCCATGAGATAATGTAAATATTTCCTCTTTGTTACTGGCCGAGTGGGAAAAGGCCAGCCACATTTTGTAGATTGACTTATATATTAAGGTACTCATCTACCTGACGAGTTTTACATTTTTTATTTGTGGCTCTTATGTGAATTTTATCGTTATTCAGTGGATTAGGTATTAACAAACTTGTTTTTTCTTTCCAAAAACACTTTTTTGACTATTCCTTTTTAAGATTGTTACTTGACTTACACTAAAAATCTTTAAAATTTAGAATTTTTGAGTTATTAAATCACCTTATATATTCAGAACATACTTCTGTGTGCGGTTTATTTTGCTGGCAATATCAGTAATGGAGAAATCAAGAAATTGGCAAAATTTTATGGAGTGAGTGGGTTTGATATCTAAAATGCATTCAAAAAGCAATTTGAAAAAGAGCCAATTTTGTGAGCACATGATAAATCAATTGATATTTTTTTAAATTGTTATGAAGCCACATGTTACTATATTAATGTTGGCACTTAACGAATTGAGACACTGCCTAAATTATTATCTTCATAAGGGATTACTTTTCAAATGTATATATGAATTCATTAAATCATTAGATACAACCATAAATTACTATTATGTAAATGTAATCGGTAATTTTGAAAACATACACATTTTTCATGCTTCAAAAATCAAATGTAAAGAAAATGAAGATAAAATCAGATGATTAAATATTCTCAATCCATATAAACCATATAAAGTGTATAAAACAAAATCCTTTTTTTTTTGAAATATTCTGGAGCTCTTCTAACTTAATTTAAATTGATTCAAAAAGTATTAGATTGGAAACACTTCTTCTGAACATTCTGAAAATGGTACATCAAAATCAACAATGAACAAAATTCCAAAAATTAAAAAGTTTTATTGAAGATGTCTACAGCTATGAAACAAAAAGAAGTATTTGAAAAGCTAAAGAGATTTAAATTAGATTTGTTTGAATGGTAAAAAGAAGGGAAAGGTTGTAAAAAATTGGAAAATTATATCTCTCCATATGTATAATGGAGTTCAATAAGGAAGAACAAGCAAAGATTGGTCCCATCAATTCTGATTTTTAAAAATGGTCAAACTGCATTGTGAGAAGGAATCAGAAAAATAAAGATTGGTTATGGTGGGATTGAAATTTAAAGCATAGTGTTGTATTATTTGGCCCATATGATCTGACAGATGATACGAAGGATACGGAAAAAATATAATTATATCAACAATTGAGTGCTGTTTTCAGAGAATGAAAATGGTAAAGAAATAATTTTAAACATTAAAATGAAAATATTGTCTGTTCGAGGATAGTCACAATCCATAATACATATTAATTGCATTTTGCCACTTGGTTTACATGGACAGACTTATTATAAAAACAAAAAATACAATATCTTACAAATAGTTTATTAATTATTATTTTCTGAGCGATGTTTCAGGGATTATATTTTACCCAATTTTCAGGCTACAATACAAAGAAGGAAACTTTTACTATTTTAAAAAGAATATAAAATATGAAGTTACAAGATTACTGATTCAATAGCAGTGAAAAATTGTGATAATGAAACATAGCACTCAATATAAATTAACATAAACTCTCTCCATTATGAACAACAATAGAACATACAAAATATATACAAATATTTTAAATAGGGCGTGCAGACACATGTCCATCATGGCAATAATAAATTATAGAATTTGAACTGACTGTAAAACAAATGGCTGTGACTGTTGTAAGGTAGTTGGAGAGAGTTTCAAACTTCTGTTTAATGAAGAAATATAAGCAGACAAAATATTAGAGTTTCCAAATTCATTAGAAGTAGTTTATTTGAAGGTCAACTATTACTCAATTAAAAAGGCAGGAAAAATATGTAACCGTGGCAAATCATACAAATAATTATTCTCCTAAAAAGTTCTATAATATGCAGTCGTAATGACACATGAAAGTATTTGATTCCTCCTGTGTGTTGAAGGAAAAGCATCAAATTCCCTCAACATCTATAAAGCCCTGAGACAAGGGGTCTGTGTAGTTACTACACTCATCAGAATATATTTAAATGCTGCTCTTGGAAATTTAAACGTAAATTTCAGAAGTGGATAGAAGTTAACAATGATAAATTTTTTACCCTTCTTTTGCTGATGACCAGGTTATTCTTGTCAAGGATGAACAAGATATATATTATATTCTGAATAAACTAAATCAAGAATATACATCTCGGTGTTTAACTATAAATCTGTGAAGAACTGAGTATGTTGTTGCTGGGTCGCAAGGAACAAACCTAATAATTGAGAATAGGTATATTAAAAATTCAGCAGCTTCTTGTTGTATGTGTAACAAAGGAAACTGAATGTGCAGAAGAAATAATGCATTGGATCTCTCAGGAAAGGGAAAGTGACAAGACAGTTGAGTAGTGTTTTGTCTTCTTCCTGACAGGGTTTAGGTCATGTGACGTGCTCTGGCACTAATTTTTCTTCTTGGTCTACAAATGTCCCTTCTTCTGTTCTATAGTTCATAGCTATGAATGGAAGGCATTTCGTTTGCATTCTTGATGTACCATGAATGTTATCATACAATTCTTTGACTTTTAAAACATCTATTTCAGAATTGGTTTTCTAGCCAAGTAGCCTACAAAGCATCCTAGTGTATTTTGTAGAAATTTTGTTTCTGCCAATTGTATATTATTTTTTATCTTTTTCATGTTCACCCATGTTTTGCTGGCATTCATTAATGTGGGGGACTGCAATGGTCATGCAAAACTTAAGCCGTGTCTTCTTTCATTTTAATTTTCTCATACTTGTGTATCATCCTACAAACATTTCGGAATTTTATTAGCTGATCTGCCATGTCATGATCTACATGGAGTAGCTTAGCACCCCGGGTAGAGGAGGATTCCTGAGTGAGGTTAGCAGCCTGCTCAGTGTAAAAAAAAGATACTGCTCAAAGCTCCTAGAATTTGCCTCTGATCAATCCCATATGTATGACAACTCTGGCAAGAAAAAGGACTACAAATTGGAAAAGGTAGAACATTACACGGATCGTAATATGGAATGTAAGATCGTGGAATACAAGCGAATATGAAATACATTTATGGAACTTGACAGGAACAAAATTGACATATGTTGCCTCACAGAAACTAAGAAAAAGGCACAAGGAATGTTGCAACACAAAAGGGTCCCAACACACTTATATATAGTGGACCTCTAAAACATCATAGAGCAAAGGAGGGTATAGCAATCATAATGCATAACAAATATGTAAATAACATAATTAAACATAACTACATGTTCAAAGAATTATAGCTGTGAAATTGGCAAATAAATCTAAACCAATCAACATTGTATCCGTATATGCGCCAGAAAATAATAAACCATTCCACGAAAAACAAAATTCTACAATGACCTCCAAGAAACGATCGTCCAAATCAATCCTAAGGAACCGTTAGTAATAGCAGGTGATCTGAATGCTAGAATAGGAAATCACATCATCCCGGGAATTAAGAACAGGTTCAATGAGCATGATCTCAATGAAAATGGAGAAACTCGTATAGATTTCTGCATTGAAAACGATATAAGAATAAACAATACTTTCTTTGATCGTAAAGAACAGCATAAAACTACATGGATGAACACAAGAGAACAAAAATTTACCATTGATTTTATCCACCACGGATTTTGAATGATGCAACAATACCAAAGGAATGGAAATCAAGCATTCTTATCCCTCCATTTAAGAAAGGAGACAAACACGTTCTAGATAATTACATAAGAATAAACCTCCTAAACAGCTCATTGAAAAGCTTCACAAAATGTATTGTAAACACACTCATGAATATGATAGAATGGAAAGAACAACAACAGGGTTTTAGATGTGGTAGATCATGCACTGACGCAATTTTTATCATCCAACAAATCATGTTAAAAGCTCTAGAATTTAACAAACCAGCTTTCCTATGGTTTGTGAACCTAAGCAAAGCATTTGACAAAACTAATTGATGTCATAAGAATACTGAAACAAGAAAATGTATCCTCTAACCAAATTTTCTCTGCATCAGCATCTGGAAAGTTTTTCTTTGCTTTTCACCATCTTCGGTACATCTTAATGCAAAAAACTACTAGATAATGGTCTGAGTAGATGTCATAACTTGTCAACACATTTTTTATCCATTACTTGTAATATTCTCTGGTTATCAATTATAACGATCTGCAGTTTCCATTAGTGTAAGTAAACTTGTGAACTAGTTTCTTGCGGAAAAAGCAGTTTGTTACTTTTAAGATGTAGAAACCTGGGAATTCTCAAAGTTTCATTCCATTCTTATTTATAGTTTCTTCTCTGAATGTACCTACAGATCCATGGACTGCTTTGTTTCCCATTCTGACATTAAGGTCACCTGTAATGAGTACTTCTAATGTTTGATTGTATTTGTTTATGGGTTTTTGGAGTGTTATGTAAAATCTGGCAGTTTCCTCTTCCAGTTTTTTCAACCGTCCTTTCACTAGGATATAAGCGCCCATGGTGAGCAAGTGTCTGTGAGATTATCTTACTCTGATTGTGACAATTTTATCATTCACATATTTGTATTTTCTAATCTTTGGTTTCCGTTTTTTATCTGCAAATATTGCTACTACTTGTACTAGCTCTTATATTTCCTTCCACACCAGTGTAGAACATTGCATAATTCCCTACATATTGCTCTTTCCCATATTAAAAATTTAATATTTTCCCATGTTAATTTTTAAAAGACTAATATGTAAATGTATATCAATAGCTTGAATGTAAGAAACTAGTAAAGAAATATGAAATAATATACAAATGGCAGGTGCCCATGTAAAAGAGGATAAGTCAAGTTTTTGTCCAAATTGAGTATGCTAGGATATTGCTTTATTACAGAACTATCATTGGGTGCAGAGGGATAAGTTGCATTTCAATTTTGCCATTAAATGTTAATGAAAAAATTGAAATGTCACTTATCCCCCTACACGCAATGATGATATTGTAGTAAAACTATGTTCTGGCATACTCATTTTTGACAAAAACGTGACATACCCCTTTTACCTACGCATGTGCCAAATATTAACTTATGTAATACCCAACTGACTGGAATCATATCTATTATGTTGTTGTAGCTCAGGAAATGCAAGAGTAACATAGTGTGGTTAAATAAGACTAAAAATGTGTTATGTGCTAAACAGAACCTGGAAAGTGAGGGGGGGAATTGATTTTGAAAAGGCCAGATCACTGGTTACCATTATGTTCTTTTTAACAACCATAATGGGTTTCCTGATATATCATGAAGCTACATTAATGTCAGTCATGAAATTCACATGTAAGCTCAAAATGAACCAAAAGAGTCACGTGGTTTTCAGCATTATCTACTTTTTCTGCATTAATATAAAGGGGATCTAATCATTACTCAATTAGACAGTTAGAATTAGTAAAATAACTTGTAATTATTATTAACGAAACATTTGTTATGAACATAATTACATCAGCATCACTTTCATCTCATAAGAAGTTATGTTTCATTTTGTTGTTATATTGAATGTGCGTGATTGAATATTTTATCTACAACACACAATGCATTTGTTTCAACAATAACAACTTTTGTTTTATTTATTTAGCATTAGCTTCAAGCCTCGTAAAAAATGTTATGATTAAATTTATGTACAATAGTCTAAAAACGTCATTTGAGTTAAAGGGAAAAGTCTTAATTTTAACCTAGAAAAGGTATATTAAAGTGAAAAGTTGTACTATTTTGCTTTTTTCCTGCAACTTCTAATTTCTAATAGCTTCATTTTTTTTTTATTTACAAATTCAAAACAGTTTAGTTATTGAAAGATGAATTTTTGTGTATGATAGCTAAAATATATTGCTAACTATGGAATTTGTTTAATTCTATTAATGACTCATGATATATAATTTTTTCTTTCTTTTGTTTTGTAGTGAGCCGACAAATGAAAGCCCCAAAGGGGAATCAGCTGGTGCAAGTGAAGAACCTACAGATGAGAGTGATGTGCCTCCTAAAGTTGAATTTAAACAAGTTGTGGAAGATGGTGCAATATATTCAAGAAGGTAACATTGCTAGTGATATTTCATAATTAAATCTCAAACTGATGCCCTCTGGCTTCCAAAAAGTAGGATGATGATAAATTTATCTTTTCTTCATTGCTAATGGTGAATGTACTTTACAGGTGTAAAGTTTTTGTGAAAACAGATGCTAACTATCATGATCATGGAGTTGGTATGCTGTTTCTGAAGCCGGTGGAATCTGGGAAGAAAACTCAACTCATTGTTCGAGCTGACACAAGTTTGGGAAACCTTCTTTTGAACACCTTACTAAGTGCTGATATGACTATGCAAAGAATGGGGAACAATAATGTAATGCTTATTTGTTTGCCAACGCCGGAATTCAAAACTGACAAACCACTTCCAGTATTGTTGAGAGTTAAAACTAGTGAAGATGCTGATGAACTATTACAGAAGTTGAAAGAATTCAAGAAATAGCCTGAAGCTACAGGGGTCAAATAAAGACAAAGCTAGCAATCTGCATGGAATTTTGCAATTGTAATAATACAGTTGAATGTCACACTGTTTGTAACAGTGAAATGGTGGATAATAAAAATCTGTTGCCAACTTTTATCAATGTGTTAGTGTTTTTCTTACCCAACTGTTTTTTAAACTTTTAAAGTAATTAATACTTACCGAGCATATGAGGCTCAATATGAGTTGCTTATGGCAGTTTAGCATTTATTTGTGTTTATTGTTTAGAGGGTCCTTCCGCAAATCAGAAACTAACACTTTTGCAATTGTACGCAATTCGTACTGCAATTCTGATTTACTTATAATTATTCCGTAAAGGGACCTAATTGTCGCAATTCTCTTCTCGTTGCTAAATTTATTTCTATTAGGTTCACGGCCAGGAGATTCTTTTTTATATATTTACTTATTTATTTGAGAACAAATGGTCTATTGTTTTATTTTATTCATATATACTTTAAATTCTTCTTTCCACACACCCTATGTTTGTACACTATCAAAAGGTTATTGATTCAATTTGGTCTTGTTATTGCTGAAATTCATCTTTGTGAAATAAATATTGATTGTTAACTGAACGTTTGATAACTGTTTTTCTCCACAGTAAGAGTTTACTCATTGACTAGGGAAACCGTTGACCCGCTTCCTGTATACTGATTTTTCAGTTGTTCATTCTTCGGTAAAGTCAAAGTTCCATCTGTTGAGAAATTTTGTTATTCCGCGCATTGCCAGTAGATGTCTACTACGGTTTAATTTATTATTGCCATTTCTTTGCACCACTGCCTTGCCTATAAATAATTACAACACGTCATAAAAATCACGTTCAAGTGTTCAGTATCAACAGCTCACTATCAGAAATCCACATACAATATATGTACGTTACTTTACAACGCACTGCCTGATGGCATTAAACAATTGAAGTCGGTTCACAAATTTAAGTTAAAATCTTTAATGCTGCATAACTGTTTCTATACAATTAATTACAATACTGATTATCAAAGAGAAAAATAATGTTTATTTTAAACAAAACAGTGATATATAATGAATTAGTTTACATTTTTATTGTATATTTTTTAGAAGACTTAATATGCTTGTAACAAAAAATGTACTTCAGCTTTCGGGTCAATGACCTCCATCTCGGTCAGGTTTTTGTCCAGTATCCCTGAGGCATTGAGCAAATGCTGAGATGGCCCCTTGTTTTGCTTCTGGACATAAATGTAGATTCACTATGCACACGTTTTGTTGAACTCTCCTTTTGCTTGTAATGGTAAGAGTAGAGGTAAGAGTGAGTTGCTATTTTGTTCGCAATGCAGAAAAATCATACTTTCAATTCGTGTACCGATGCAAATAAGTTTTCTATAACTCAAAAACGAAAATGGCTATTTTTCAAATATTGCTAATCTTGCGATTTTAAAAATTTATTTTTATTTATGTTAAACTTTTACTCATCCTTCAACTATTAAACTAATCTTCAACTTAACTATCCTTCTATCCAACTATTAAACTATCCTTCAACTATTAACTATAGTTAAAATGACGGGAAGGGATTCTGGAACTTAAGAAAACGTGCCTAGATAATCTTTTCCCCCCTACGGCACATACAGTTTTTTTATTTTTTTAAATTTTTTTTATTTTTTTGACTGAATAAATCTAAATCTATTGCTACTTCAGCCGCATGCCGCAGTTTCATCTAATCGGGTCCCAGGTCGTGGAAAACAGGAACAATATGGCTCGAGCTGTCCCTACGCCTGGCAAAATCTCATACAAAATTAACACTGTTCGAAACATTTACAACAATCATTATTAGAACGAGTGCATAAAAATATGAGAGAACTGCCCTTCTGCAGAATATCTCACAATAAATGTGGAAATACAATTAAATAATTAGACCCACAATTGGCAGGATGAACACATTACACAAATATTAGAACGAATCTAATAAGCAGACTTCAAAAATCACAGGCAATGTAAACATAAAATTACCATGACTGAGAAAATATAATTAAAATTAGGTGTTCCTAAACGTACAGAAATTTACAAAACTCTTGGGCCACGTTCAGCTTGCCGACCAATTAATTTAGAAGACATTATCGAATTATTTACCGGCGCTCGGATTGAACGGCGTACCAAGAAATAAATTAAAATGGCAGATGGCTGCAGAAAACAAAATGTACATATTTACAAAAATGGCGAGAAGCGCCAGTGGCGTAAAAAGCCAAATCAATTCAGGTACATAATGACAATATCACAGAAACAATTCGTGACTGATGGTCACGGGCGTAAAAGCAAGCGCGTAAATAGCAACTTTACATAATAATAATAATAATAATAATAATAATAATAATAATAATAATAATAATAATAGTAATAGTAAATGGCAAACAGCCATTTTTTACAGCTAAAAATTACATAATAAATACGTGTTAGATGGCTACGGGCGTAAAAGTAAGCGGTGAAGCAAGACATCTTTGTGCAGTTTTGTGAACGCACGGAAAGAGCAATGCACGTTCACGCCTCTGCGGTGAGACCATTCCTACCCTTAAGGGCATCTATGGCCAATCCTGCAACATTAAGTAAAACAGGTCAAAAATGACTTTAGCTTTCAGGGGCGCGCATTGCGTGTGTAGAATTACGAAGTTTATGTTTCAAGTCTCATTTCTCTGTTTCAAATTGCTCTTACTCCAGAAACTGTTTTGGACGACTATGCGTGGCCCGTTGATCGGGTTGCTATGAGGCGATTGCGAAGATGAGAGGGTTTTCCGAGTCACCTGCTTTTTCAAAAAAAAAATAAATTCTGACAATATTTTTGATATCAGCAGTAGCATTGATAAATCGCGATGTATATTTCGATGGGAATGTATCTAGGGACGCAGAGGGCTGCCCCGAGACATTCGTTTTGAACTACTTGCAGTTTATTCAAATGAATAGTCGCTGCAATTGCTCAACTGAGGCATGCGCAGGCCAGTTGCGGCCTAATTGCTTTATAAAGCGTGAGGCAGTTGCCATTGACAGTTTGATCTGCCTGTGAAACAATCTTCGCAATCTGCCTTAGTTCTGCCGCGGTTTCTTTCGCGCATTTTCGATGTGCAAGTAAGCGTTGAAGCGAGCTCGGAGATCGGTTATATATATATATATATATATATATATAAATGAATATATATATATATATATATATATATATATATATATATATAATATATATATATTATATAGAAAAAGTTTTTCCCTACATTTTGGCAGCGGAATTTGAATTGCCATTATCCAACGCAATCTAGGAGTGTGATTTGGTAGCTTACAAAAAAATAAATCGAAGTAGTAATAAATCGATAGGGGAGTGTGACATACCCACACTCTCTAGATAGAGAACAGTAACAATGGTGATAACAGAGGTGTGCAGAAGACTAAACTTGCATTGGTTACCACAAAAATAAATTCAGACAGAGCTCTATGGCTTAACAGAACGCATGCAATGTACGGGAGCTTTGGAATTGGATTAACTGGAACATTTCTGGATTGGTAGAACACATATAAAGCTCTTAATTTAAGTACAATAAATAAATACCATTTAAAAAATTAAAAAAAATCAGATACAAACCATAAGTATATTAATTAAAGGTAGAAATATTTAATAATCTGGAGTGTGGCCACACTTTAACATTGGTACAAGGACCATAAATATTTTTAAAATGTACAGCTAAAGATTACCACTGACAAAACGAAAAAATAATACTTAGAATTTATACAAAATATAAAAAATAATGAGTTGGAGAACCTCATATTTCAGCTTTTGGGTATATTAATCAATTATATATAACAGATGATTGATTATTTACAAAACATATAAAAACTGTAATGATTGACAGATAGGAAAACTTGCAGAATTTCAGCCTCAAATGGCAACTATTTGTAGTATGAATTCGAGAAGATAAGAATGCTGCAACGGGATCTTGATGGCTTATATTATTGGTTGGAAAATAATGTAATTGAAACCACATAAAAAAAATTTAACTCAAAAACAATATCCATCTCTTTTGGCAGGGGTTATAATTAGCAGAGAACAAATTAGCCCGTTTAATAATAACAACATTTTCAAGAGAGTTTTTCCTCATGCAAGTAGGTACTTAGGAATTCATTTCATAGTAATTGAAGCCGCAAAAGTCACGTTGATTTTTTGTTGTAGTGAAAGCCTGAGATCTCGTCACTTTGTAATGCGCACCTTAAAAAAGAGTAGGCAAACGCGAAAGGAAATTTGCGTAATACTCTTTTGTTGGTCCGATAATAGAATATGGAAAAACAATTGTGTTTGGAATCCAACATAAAATTATGCAGTTGTAAAAATTTTGGAAAGGGTTCAGGCACTATGGCAGCTAAATAACTTTCAGCGAGACGAAAATAAACAGGATGGGATCACATCGAAAACAAGCTATCAGTAACCAAAGACTAATCGTTTTGTATAAAGTTATACGAGGTTGCCTTTTATATTTTCAGGATTAGAGAATACAAAAGGGAAATATTAATCATCGAAAATAACTTTATTGATTTTCAAAATATTCCCCATAAAGATCTATACACTTTTGATGCATTTGGATCAAGTGTTCAAACCACTTTGCCACCTGAGGTAATCTCCAAACATGCAATTCCTGAATGCGCAACCGTCTTCTTCAGGTGTCGAAAAAACGTTGACCTCTCTTTGTTTTTACGTACAGGATAAAAAGAAGTCATTCGGTTGCCCCAAGTCAGGAGTAAAACGGCGGATTGAGTCAACAAATCGATGTTTTGGGTGCTTCAAAAATGCAGTTGTTTGAGCCGATGTGTGAAGCTCGCATTATCGGTGGGTGAAGAGTGATCCGTCTTCGGTGGTTTGGTTTTCCTAAATTTCTTGGAAGACAGCTGGAAACAAAATCGTTGTGTACCAACTCAGAATTGACTGTTCTGCGTTGGTTCTAGTGGTAAAGTTGCGACATTGTCCAGTTTTTTCGGAAAAACAGGTGATCGCATCTTTTGGGAAGTGGCTTCGTGGCGCGAACAACTTTTTGTTGATTTTGCTCATCTTGGAAACACCTACATGCCGACTGCTTGTTTACTTTCGGGCTCAATACGCGTTCAATCCACGATCCATCACCTGTCACGATTCCATCAGGAACGTTTTTCGACAACGATGAATTTTTTGAGCATTTCTTTTCGACAAAACACGACAACGAAGCTTTTTTTGAGCGAAATTGAGAATTTGACAGTCAAGATGTTCATGAGTATTGAATGTATTGCTGGTCCACTAAATGCCTAAGGTTGTCTCATCTCACGATAGGGCCACATGACGATCTTGCAATATCAGTTCACGCACAGCAATAATGATTTCCGGAAACACTATTTTGGACGACCTTCGCGAAATTTCGTCTTGGAGTAATACCGACCACGATTGAATTCACCAATACCATCGATAAACACTCGGGCTTGATGAGCTTCATCGCCAAAAATTGAATAAGTTCATGCCATGCACTGTTTCGAGTTAATCCATGTCGAAAGTTGTAAAAAAATAATCGCACGAAAAATATTCTCGATTTGATTCATTTTTTGG